AAAAAAGGTGAATAATTTAAAGAATAAAGGAATATAATAGTATAATATATATAGAATATATAGTATAATATGAAAGTATAAACAATTTTTATTCACATTAAAAAGATTACGATAAATAACTAAAAAAAATAATTTTTTATTGAAATTAAAAGTGTAAAAATACTAAATAACAAAAGTTTAAATGAAAAATTTCAAAAACAAGTTATAAGGTGATTGCATGCAATACAAATAATTTTCTCCAACCACAATTGCAATTATCTTATAAATGAGTATTTACATATTTTTGTTATTTTTTTACAACTTATGCAAAAATCATTTCGAATTATAAGCAAAAAATAAAAGTAATAGCCAAAAATTCTGCAAATGATTTTTGTTAAATTTAATGTTTAGCATTTAATATTTTTTTTTTACTTTCACTGCTTTTAAATCTTTGCTTCTATGACTAAATAGCAGATTGTAATATGTATCTATGAGAAAAATATTCATCACTTAATTTTCATTAGCTTATGTTACGACTAATGATAGCCGCACTGCCGGTAAGGCAGCCTTAATCATTGAATGATTGATGATCTGATGCTTTCATTGATTTGTTGACTAGAAATTGAATGGCTTTCAGATTCTTTGCATAATTGACAGTTAAACTAGATTTCAGTGATTTTAAAAGTTGTTGATTTACTGTATTATGTTCGAATTGTTATTGTTAGCTGACAGTGAAGGAAATAAAATATTAAACAAAAATAATTGACTGAAAGTTTTGAAGACTTGCGGATCAAAAATCAATTATGTTATATTATTTAACTAAAATATATTTTTTTCATTTAAGATATTTTGAAAAATTGCTATTAATATCTCGAATTAGCCATTTTTCACTTATGCACTTTTTCTGTTCATTCTACAAGTCATGCAAATTATGCAAGCAAATTCTGTTTACTTGCCTCTTGCATGTATAGCGCTTATCTTCTAATTTAACTCGATGTTGCTATAAAATTATTGCTAATAACGGGAAATTTTCTAAATAATTTCACTTTTGCGTAGACAAATTATTCGCGAGCACAGTTTAGCGTTTTTTATTAAACGAAAAATTATACTAGGCACGTACAAATTGACGTCACAATAACGCAATGTTTATAGTAAGGGAGCAAAATGATATAGTGAGCCATAAATGCTACTACAAGTGAAATATAATGGTACTTCAATATATGTACAGTTATATAGGATTGCCAATATAAAAAATTGTATATGTTATAAGCGAGTTAAGGGACGCACCTAGTGTGATCTTAAAAAAAAAAACATTTTTTTTATATTTCGATAGCATATACCTTTAAAAATACCATACTAAAATTTTACATCGATATCACAAATAGTTTTTGAGTTACAGTTTTCTAGAGTGTACACATTCAGTTCAATTATTTTATCGTGTCGTTTTCTCAAAACTATACTTCTCAAATTTATTTGTGTGACTACTCGGAGACGAATAATTCGATCACAATACAATTTTTTTGCATGTTCTGTACGTAGTGCTCCATACTATAATCTAACAATTTTTTGATCTGAGCAAAAGTCGAATTTCGCCAGACCAAATATAACCAAAGTTTTGAGTAAATTTTGTACATTTTTGATTTTTTCGACTCTAGGTCATTGCACGAATAATATCTTTTATTAGAGATTTTTTTTTATGTTTTACCCTAGGTTCTTAGCGCCACTGTTTGTTCTTTTGAAGAGGTGAAAAATTGCTCTAGAAATGTTGTGACAATTCTATTAAAAAATTTTGCAAATACCGCTAGTACAATAAAGATTTTTGAAAGAGCTTTCGCTTTTCGTCATTTCATTTATTATTAAGTTTTATGGAGTAAAATTTTTTACAAACTTGTCTACTTTGCCTTATTTAAAGAGTCACTTTCTTGATTTGCTTCATAATGATTACTAGATTGTAATAATTACTTAATATTAATTTTTTTTAAATTAAAATACAATTGGCAACTATTTTCTCTATTTCCAACGCTAAGAAAAAATCATCAGAAATATTTTTCAGAGTAACCCTTTTCCTCTCCAACCGTAAGGATGTTTTGCTCTATTATGACACACATTTTTTCATAACTCGTTCATTTTTTATTGAATTTAAAATGTAAACAGCTGGCAACCTTCGTCAGAAATGTTCTCCATAGTTAAAAACTCTTTTTATTTTATATTTCATCTTATTATGATTTTTTTACGCATTTGAACAGAAAACATGTGGCAACCTTCATTGAGAATATTTTGCACTAGAAACCTTCTAGAACCTCTTCCATTTCCTGCCCATATTACAGGTTTCTTTCTTCCCATTTTATTACTATTATTTTTAATTTCAAACAGGTGGCAACCTTCTAACCTTTTTTGTATTTCAAACAACCCGGGTATTCACATAAGAGTTTTTAGAAATTTGTATACTTCCAAATATTCGCAACCTTGCTTTTCTTAGTCATTAAGCGTCACAAAAAATAATTAAAAAATTATTTAAGGATACATATAAACTTTAAGTATCTTTGTAAATGTCATAACAACTTGTCGTCAATAAAACTTGAAAATATTTGCAAGAAAATTGTACTTTACATTCTATAGCGACTTGCATTGAACTCATTACATGCAAATTTTACGGTCAAATAAATTAAAAACAAATTTAAATGCAAAATAAAATAATCATATTCCGATGTTTTCAGGTTCAAAGTCAGGCGGTTTACGGGTAATGGTCAACGCGGCTGTGCATTGAATACATTATCTGCACAAATTTAGCAACAAAAGCATAAAAACAAGTGTTCAAATAAGAGGAAACTCACAAAACTGGTAAAAAAAAATGGAGCGATAAGACATTGCAAAAAAATAACGAAACGGAATTCAGTGAATTTAGGTTAGTGATCCATAAAAAAATTCGTATATAGCACTCTGATTACGTAAGAGACCGCAACAAATTTTATCACAAACAGGAAGGTCGCTGATAAGCCGTTTTTGTTTGATTTCCAAATTTGGTTACAAAATGAATAGTTAGCGACCAATAAATCAATTATTTTTATCACGCGCTATCAAAAATAACTAATCACGCTTACCTTCCATTGCAACAAAAATAACCCAAAACGGTATCTACCATATGTATATACGTATGTGTGTAGATCTTTTTGCCTCTTACCATTTGCAATAACCTCACCCAACAACACACCTCAAATGTGAAATCAAAGTGAATTGTTGTTCTTTGAAATCATTATCAAATGCAGCAGAACATTTCGATCACGATATGTGTGCTCGTGCTCGTAAAGTGGCGTAGTATTACCTGTTTACCGTCGACCAGTTGCCTCTGCAGTTGCAGGTTATTCACTCTTTCATATACACACATACCAATTATATGGTTATCTGTATATACATCACATGACTTCCAACATAGTCTGCCATAAAACTGATCGATATACGATAAACTATATAAATATCTGTTTAATATTAAATTATTTTTCCTCATATTCACTTGTCATATAAACATAGATCTGATCATTGTTATTTTTTCTCAATCAACACTAAATGTAGGCAACGAACATCGCTAAATATAAATGTTGCCTACAATTAGGCGTAATATAAAATGAAACCAAAAATTAAAGAGAATACAGAGCAGTATTAAAATATATAACTTATTAGATATGAAAATAGCAAACTGATGTCTCTAGAGTTTTATACACATAAACTCTCGAAGAAGATAAACTTCTATTATTTTACAACCTTGCCAAACTGATTCAATATCTTTCTGTTTCGACTAAAATCTAGTACAAGATAGGAATAAAGAACCGAAAATCTTGGATATTTGAGCTTTTCACATAAGTTTTGCGTTTCTTTTTGTTATTTCAACCTCTGTTTCCAATGGGTTGCACCATACTATGAATTTCTTTAACTTTTTACCATTTTCAAAGGCTGCACTGGTCTATAAAAGTTTTCAAATTTTAAAATATTTTAGATGAGATGATTTTTAGAGACTGACAAAACAACTGTTTACTTCAGAGAGAAATTCTTCAGCCAGTTTGAGTATAAGTTCCTAATCTTGTTTACTGGTTTTATAACTAAATTATAGGAACTTAGCCTGTGAATTCTTTCAGAGAATTTTTTTTATGACTTTTATCAACTCATGTTGTCTTTTCCGAAACTAATTTTTTATATAGGGAGCGAAAAGATGCACAGAAATACAAATTTACTGAATAAAGCTGCTGAACGCTAGCTCTTGTGTCATGGCACAACCTGTTTTGTGACGGAGCATTTTTGAGGAAAAGCACCTATTAAATTCCCAATCTACTTGGCCGTTTATGAAGAATTTCTAGACATATACGCCTATAAATATCCTTATATTAGTACTGAAAACACCGGTAGTCGAAGAATACTTTAAGCACTGCTGTGGTTTTCGATTAACTTTGACAAGAATTTGTCGGTTTGGTTCATTTTTACTGCAATTCATCACTGAATTTTTGAGTAGTTCTGTCATCTATTTCATAAGCGTTCATCAATTCCGCAGTTAATTTTCGAAAACATTACTTTTCTGACCTCTGCTACTTGTATATGTTTTCTTCTGGCGGTGACTTACTTTATACACAAAACAACTAGCGGAATTAGTTACCTCGATCCATTAAAGATTATGAAAGTATCTGCTGTCTCGCAGGCTTTCGATGTTATAGCCTCCTATATATATATATTTCTAACCAAGATAATAAAAAAAATATCATGGAATGGTAAGTAATCGTTGAAAATGTTGCAGAAGTGTTTTGGGAAGTCTATTATACCAAGAACACAAGTTAATTAAAATTAAGTGGCACAAAGCCCCCAATGAGGTCGTAAATGCTTAATAGTAAAATAATTGATTGTAACTAAGTGAGGTTAAATTCAAAAAAAATTATTCTAAATTTAGGAAAGTGCAATTTTTTAATTAAGTCCCACATATATATATATATATATATATTTATACATAGAAATTATAACAACAAATATTTTAAGCTTACCTTTAATGACATTTTTTACTGCGTTCCCTACCAATAAGTGTGTCTTGGTTGGTATGTATCTATGTAATGGTCGACAAATGCTCGCCTTCTCCGACTTAATTAATATTGCACAATTTATTTGACGCGTTCCAATTTAATTTAATAGCACTCTTCACAAAAACACATGTAAATATAAATTTTTATACATATGTGAGCTGGCATATAGACTCTATAAGTTTTATCACGCTAATTATAGGTCACCCGCTTTTTGCACACCATTCACTCACTAATTTACTTATGATTGTACGAGCACTATATACATACATATGTATGCATGCATGCACTTGTATATTGAATCCTAACTAACTTTGCACCTTTCGACAGAAACTCAGACAGCTGCTTTTGCTTAAATGAGGCATCACTCAGTGGACTTTTTTCATATTTTGTTTTTTTTACTTGCACATTTGTAAGTGTGTGTATGTACAAATATACATACTTTGTATATTAGTTTGTCACTTCACTGCACTTTTGCGTGCATTTACTTCTTGTAATAAGAACGGGGACATTCACTTGTCTGGCTGCGCCGGCGCATTACAGCCATTCACTCGCACGGACGCTGGCGTCACAACTGCAAGAAGAAGAAGAGGATGTGAAGAAAAAATAAGAAAAATATTTAGTAAATATGTATATAGCATTACATAAATGTATATTAGCGTGAGCCAATAAAGAACCTACTAACCGATTTATGGGTTAAAATGGACAGAGAAAATATACTCGAATTTTTTATTTGAAAAAAAAATTCCACTCCGGTAGTTTTTTTAGGAAATTTTATGCTCTACAAGGATCCGCGATGTAAAAATTGTTTTCTTGAAAGGTTCACAAATTATGTATTTTTAATGAAAACAGGTTTTCTACGTGTTATTTAATATTGTATGGTCACCGACTGCTTTTAAAATTAAGCTAAAAATCCTGCCTAGAAGTGATAAATATTTCTATATCCTGAATAGTGTATATTAAGGTTGCCACGAAGTTTGTAACACCTAGAAGGAAACGTCGAAGACCCTTTAAAAAAAAAAACAAATATATATATACCATAAATTATCAGCTTTGGACATGTCTGTCCGTCTGTATATACACGAACTCATCCCGCAGTTTTTGAGAAACCGATCTAACTTTCTGTGAACGATCAGAAACAAGTTCTTGTATGGAAAACTTTTTTATTTTACGAAATATTTTCACAAAATTTGGCTGCGATTATTGTCTAATACAACGGTACAATTTCTTAAGAAGCTGTTCAGATCGGATCACTATAGCGTATAGCTGCCAGACAAACTGGCCGACCAGATCTAGTTCTTGTAAGGAAAACTTTTTTATTTGTGAATAGTATTCTAGCTTCCGTGCAAACGAAGTTATCGTTTTACCTTATTTTTTCTTTATATAGGTCAATATTAACTCATAAATTCGATATTATTATTTTTAGATTCACCCTAATACATGCTATATACAATATATTCAGAATATAATAAGAAAAAGTTATATGTATACTGATGTATCCATATATGCGTCTGTGCTAACTAAAATTATTATATCACCGCTGACAACGGCAACAGGTTTACAACAGTACTAGCAAAAACAATAAGAACAACTCGCTATAACCACCAAATGCAATCAATGCGCTTCAAATGCCGCAGCTTAAAAGAAAATGTGTAGAGAATTGGAGCACCGCAATAAACGAGCGCATGCGCACACACAGAGTCACAAACGCAAGCACACACATACGCACACAGGCAATCGCAGCATTCCAGTTTTCTTAGCCTCATTTTGTTAAGCGGCTTTTTTTCCGTCACCGTCACCGTCTTTGGCTTCATCTTCAGCAGCTGTTGGCGTCTTGCCGTTTACGGTTGTGTTGTGCTTGCGGAAAATTGCAACAAACACTGCAAGCATAACAACAACAACGCAGCAAATAGTTGCATTACATTGTTGGCAATCGCATTGTAGTGGAAAATGTTTTGACTTAGTAAATTGCATCGTGCGCGGGTAATTACCAGCCAAAGCGATTAAATACAGATATAGACTATGCGACAGGCCACATTCTCAGTCACACAAATATAAAGTTATACAAACATCCTTATGTAGTTACAAAAGTTCCCTCACAACTGCCAAAGTACTTGCAAATATAAATCATTTGTTATTGTTTTTATTTTTTTGATTTGCGAAACAAGTCACATTTCCTGTTACTTTCTCCAATTCCTGGCGCCCTTCTGTCGCTGTCACGCCTTTTGACAGCTGGATAATGCTCACACAACTTGCAGTTCATTAGCCCTAAGAAGTGCTAGTTGACTTTATTTGTTAATGCTGGCGGACAATATTTTAGCCAACCTTGTAGGAACTGAATTTGGTCTAATTTTTTTTACCCTCTATATTGCCACCAACAGTAAAGTGAGTGATCAACAATAAGCTGCGTATTATGGTGAAGACCCCAGACTGTTCCCAAATCTTTTACTACTCATTATAATCCTCTTTTGATACTACTTTTCGTACTTTTGGCGAGAGCTCTTGTGTTAGGTTCTGTTAAGACCATCCCACCGGCAACTTGAAAGTCATACCTAATAAGAATAAAAACTTTTTGAAGTCCATAAAATATAATTCTGGAATCATAACATATTGTGTACTCAAATATTGATACGGCAGATTATCTCAAAAGCCGAGATGCTTTATACTTTTCGTCCTCCTTTCAAGATTTCCAAATTGTCAAAACTTCAAATTTAAATCATTTAATAATCTTTTACAAATAATAAGTCATATAAGTTGGTCTTTCCAGATAGACCTGTCGAATTTTTCGGCTAATCTACCCATTTTCCCTTATTTTATAATGGTTTACACTTATTTAATCTTTGGATTTAGGTTCTATTCTACCATCGTTTTCATTGGCACTCACTGGCCACTCCAAACTGCTTCCTACTTAAATACAACTTGTTTGGTCTTAACCTGTATGAAATAAACATTTCGAGGTCAAAAAATATAGTTCCAAAATAAGAATGTCAGTTCGGCGCAGATATCGAATAGACGGATGATCTCTAGAGCCGAAATCATACATCTTCAGATGTTCTATACTTCTTCAAATTTAAATCCTTTATAAGGTGATATTAGGTCCAGCTAATCTACCAATTTCTCTTGATTTTGTAGTGGTTTATCGTTATTTCATCTCTGGATATAAGTTCCATGCTCATCTTCATAATCTTAAGTGAAATTCTTTGGCCAGAACGATGCCAACCGCAGGGAAGTTGGAATTCGAACACAGTTTTTTTGTAATTAAATAAACTCCATTCTAAATGGCAATGAAATATGTGACTGATCTTGTCGAGGTAGCTTTGAATGAGTGAGCTGTTGCGAAAATTTGCGTAGGTCGCTAGATTCTGTAGTTTTTCAGACCGGTACGAGCTTTGTAAGATCCTGATCCAAAAAATTTTCAAACTTTTGTTGAAGCTCCGTCAAATATTCATTCCCATTCAATTAGTTAGTAGATCGGTATATCAAAGTTCATGCTATACTTCTTATTTCTTAATAGTCGTACCTATGTTCGAAATAAATGATCAGCGTGAGGAGATGTCTATCCGTCTTTATATATGAGTATTTGTCTCTCAGTTTTTAAAATATCGATCTGAAATTTTGCACTCATTCTTTTCACCCACCAGACCACTCAACCATATAACTGTCATACAAACTGAACGGTCGAAATCATGTTAAAGACCTTTACATAGCCTTTAATGCTATAAGAAATGCTCCTATTACATTCCTCGATCCAACCGAAGTTAATGTTTTTTCTTATTAATCAATATTAAAAATCATTTTCCATTTCCTACTGGCCATTTTCATGCTATTAGTGCACATTACAATTTGTACTAACAGCAACGAATCAAAGTTTATTCACATCTGCAACTTTTCAACTTTAATTACTTTGCTAATTTATTTGGTTAGCATTTTTTATTGCAAAAAAAAAACAAAAACAGAAATTTTCTTTGTTCACAAATGTTTGTTTAGCAGCTCTTTACCATGTACTTCCGTTGATCCCTTTTTACAGCGCTGCCATATAGATATGTTGCAACACATGTATGCATATGGAATGCATTTCCATAAGCCTGCCATTAATTCTATTTGCAGCTAACTGAGCTGCTGCATTGTTCGCCGAAAGTGAGCGTGGGTGTGTTTGCTGGTGGGGAGCTCAAGTGCTGCAGGAAGCTTGCCACACTTGTCTGTTAAGCGGTACAGACATTCCTATATATAGGTACATACTTATTTATGTATATACCTATATATATGTACATATACCAGCGGCATACGCCGCACGCCCACGCACCTTGTTCCCGAACTCAACGCGCTTGCACTCAAGATTTTCATCCAGATTGTTTATTATTGCACCAGCGCTACATTATAACAAAGTTTATTGTTGTTGTTTTGATAAAAACACATGCACGCTTACTTTCAAGTGCCAAGATCACGGCTTTCTTGCTACTTATTGAACAGCGTGAACTTCAGAGAATTCAAATGGAAATCGCTGATGGAAATTTCAAGATTCAGTGTTGAGAAATTTTTAAAACTTTTTTCTTAGTTTTTTGTTTCAACCTTCATACAGAGAGTGCCATCCATCAGATCAAATTTGAGATTGTTGGACAGTTTCGACGTCATATTTATAAACCCACGTCGCGTCACCCGTAATGTTGCGTCTCTTTTCAGCCAGCTCTACTCGATGTCGTTTTTTGCATAAGATTCGATTCTTTTGGTATGAGTCTGGCATTAACACGCTTCATACCCAAAACCTTAACCAAAATGTGCTGAGTGGATCCATAAGAGAAGTTGAGAATCGTCTGCTATCTTGCTGATGCTTTTCAAGCACTGTTTCTTTAACTTTTTTGATGTTATTGCCGTTAACAAAGATGGATGCACGACTCGCATGAGTCCCATGTGTTCGCAATCTTCACTGAATGCTTTGTGCCATTCAAAAACTTCAATTGAATATGAAAAAAGTTGTACTAAACTAGAAGCAAATGTATCAGTGTTTCGAGGCTGGATTTTTTCGACTCTTCCGTTCTTAAAATTATCACTTATTCTAGCTGAATGGAGAAAACTCTAAAGTTAGCCTCAGCTACCTACGCACCTCTCTCATTCTTTTTAATATTTTATCTGGATTATTCAACGGTTTCATTTCTATGAAACTCATCTTTATTCTGAAATATTTTTATTATATAAAATATAGATCTTGTCAATGATTAAAAATTCATAACCAGATACATGTATGTAAGTCCCCATAGAATAAATAAGTAAGTATTATTTCTGATGTCATAAAAAAACCAAACAACGTAATGCTCTTTTTATTGGTTCTTAAGTGATCTAATCGATTTCGCCGAAGTCGGCAGCTTTCCAGTTATTTTAATAGCAATTAAGTAATGAATGCATTGCTATCATTTGCGGTTAGTTGAAGTCATACTTTGCGTGCTTCGCTATGATTCTATTCAAGTTAGAGCTGTGGAAAACGAGAATGCAATGCGCTGAATTGTGGGCCGCGCGCTGCGCTCGTGACATAGATGACGTAATACAGTGCAATTAATAAATATGAATACTAATGAAGTC